CATGGGAACTGGTAAGGCCCACCATGGGTCAGACTCATGCCAATGCCATTTGCTGGTCCAAGTATCAGTGTTCACACACACACACACACAAAATGGCCCTGTGAGAAAGGGAACAACCACAGCTTCCTCCTCTTTTATGACTGCAACCTGAAACTACTTCCCTACAGAGATATTTCACTGAGACTAACTGATCCCTCCCCCTTGTGCTATGTACAAAAATATGCTGCGTTTCTTGTTTCCTTAGTGGATACTGCTCTATCAAAGCGCGCACAGCCTACCCCATCCTAATTGCTCTTTATGTACCTGTCATTTCTTCCCTCCTGCATCACCTCTGTCAGGTTCCAAGGACAAATCCATACAGGGCACAGGAATATGTTAGGTAAACATAAGACTAGAGTGAAACAGCAATACATAAAGTCTTGAGATGCATATTCAGTAACCCATGTATATGAATAAACACATTTTCATGGACAATATTAGCAACTTAGTATTTAAAATGTTCTTTAAAATGATCAGTCTAATAATATGAACTAACTGGGTCAAAAGTCCAAATCAGAATTGTTTCTGTGTCTGCAACTTAACCACTCTTATACGGTATGAAAATAAATTGATTTGAATGCACACATTATTAAGAATTATGTATAAGTAATTTTTTTTTCAGAAAAAAGTAATTAACCATTACTATTTAAAAGCTATCATAACCAACAGATTTCATCTCTAGACCATGATTATTTGGAGCAAAATTTAAAATGCAACTAATAAGTGGTATTAAAAACACAAGAACATACATACTGCATAACATTTGGGATGAAGAGATAACGCAGGCTGTAAAGTGGTTGCCCCAGAAGCATGGTGGTGGAGAATTAAAACAGCCAACGCTGAGTAGCAATGCATTGGAAAGGCCAATTCCCATGACTTTCTAACCTTGCCAGATAGGCAAGTTTGAGGCATGTGAAAGACTCTGTCTCAAAAATTAAAGTAGATGGCATCCTAAGGAATGCTGTCTGAGGTTGCCCTCTGGTTTCCACACATATATCAAACACATTCTTCACCCATGAACACACTCAGAGAATGACTCTGATTCCATGAAAGGGCTATCACAAATACAGCAGATCTATAATGAAAATGACTGGAAAGAAATGTTCTAAAGGAAATACAAAAGAGAAAATGTAAAAATTACAGAATTAAATTTAATGTCTAAGAAATACAATTAGCATGGGGAAATACATTTGAGTATTTGAGCTCTTGCTTAGCATCTATTTTGTTTTGTTCTGAGCTGTGTGAGTCTCTCTCCTGACTCCAGCAAGGAATGTTGAGTATGGAAGACATGACTAAACAACACTTCATACCTCTTTCTAGATTTTACATTCTTTCTACGTCATTTTCTAAAATGCCCGCTGAGCCCTGGAGGGAATGATGTAGATACTGGCTATATTCCTCATCCTGGGACTGAACTTTAGACCACTGTGTCACCACAGTTGTCAGTAGTTCTTAGGATCCTGACCAGCTACAAATCTTTTCTTCCATAACTGAGGCTGATAGCAATCAAATCCATGACCAACACACAAGTATTAAAAGAAACTTTGACAGGTATGTCACACCCACTTAATAAAACAGGATCAGCTGCCTCCCCATTGGGACCTGTAAGTGCTAAAGCCACATGCTTTTTTAGATTAAAATTATTATTATTATTAATTATTTTTATTATTTACAACTTATTCATTTTATATCCCTGTGGTAGTCCCCTCCCCATCTCCTCCTCTTCCCACCCTCCATACCTCTTCCTTCCCCCCCATCGCTCTTCCCTAGTCCACTGATAAGCAAAGTCCTCCTCTCCTACCACTTGACCCTTGCCTATCAGGTCCCATCAGGACTGCCTGGATTCTCTTCCTCTGTGGGCTGGAAAGGAGGTCCCACCAGGAAGAAGGGATCAAGGAGCAGGCAACCTAGTTTATGACAGAGAATGTCTGTTCTCTCTTTTTTTATATCTATACTTATATTTTTTAATTTAATTTTATTTTTTATTAATTACAGTTTATTTACTTTGTATCCCAGATGTATCTCCAATCCTACCCTCCTTCCCTCTTCTTCTATGCCCCTCCCACAGTCCAATAATAGGTGAGGTACTCCTTCCCTTCCATCTGACCTTAGCTGTCAGGCCTCATCAGGACTGGCTAGGAAACCAAATGGAGACTGAGCTGTCTTTGAGCTTCATCTGAGCAGGGGGTCTAGGTCCTTTCTATGTATGGTCTTTCGTTGATGCATCAATCTCTGCAGTATCCCCTGGGCCCTGCTCTTTTTGGCTTTGTTATTCTTGTGTGGCTCTCTATATTCTGTCCAAAGTTTGGCTGTAAGTCTCTACATCTGTTTCCATCTCCTGCTGGTTGGGATCTTTTAGAGAACATCTGTGGTAGGATCCAGTCATATTCCTTCTCTTCTACTACTTCCAGAGTCTATCCTGTTTTCCATTTTGAATAAGATGTAAGCATCTTTCCTAGGATCCCCCTCATCATTTAGCTTCTTTACATTTGTACATTTTATTATGTTTATCCTATGTAATATGGTTAATATTCACTTATAAGTGAGTATATACCATGCGTGTCTCTGATTCTGGGATATGTCGCTCAGGATGATCTTTTCTAGTTCCATCCAATTGCCTGCAAATTCCACGATTTACTTGTTTTAACAGCTCAGTAGTATCACATTGTGTAAATGTACCACAATTTCTATATCCATTTAAACACCAACAAACCTAATAATCCAATTAAAAAATGGGGTACAGAGCTAACAGAAAATTCTCAACTGAGGAATATCGAATGGCTGAGAAACACTTAAAGAATTGTTCAATGTCCTTAGTCATCAGGGAAATGCAAATCAAAATGACTCTGAGATTCCATCTCACAATTAGAATACCTAAGATCAAAAACTCAAGTGACAATACATACTGGAGAGGATGTGGAGAAAGGGAACCCTCCTCCATTGCTGGAGAGAATGTAAACCTGTACAACTACTTGGGAAATCAATCTGGCACGTTCTCAGAAAGCTGGGACTAGTGCTTCTTCAAGATCCAGCTATACTACTTCTGGGAATATATCCAAAAAATGCTCAAGCATACAACAAGGATATTTGCTCAACTATGTTCATATGAGCTTTATTCGTAATAGCGAGAATCTGGAAACAACCTGGATGTCCCTCAAGCCACTGTGACAACAGAGGACTCATCTCACAGAGCACACAGATCCCATATCTGAGTACTGTCAGTAACAATTCTCCCCCAACAACCTGCACTGTAAAAAACAGTCAGAAAGGAGAGGAATTTCATTTTATTTTCAGCCTGGTTTGTCCATGTTTTACAGCGAAAGCATACAGTGCCTTTGGCAATGGGACTTTTCATTGAATCTAGTTGTGAAAGCAAAGCCATGGTAACAGCCTTTAAGGTTTCTGTAGTCTTGGGAATCTTTCTGGACAGCAAATCACAGTAACGTTTTCCCATTTACACTAGGCTCTTTCATTAACTCTTGTCCTTCATGTTCTATAGGAGTTTATAAATCTGTAAAACACACAAGGATTTGTATTTTTTGATGAAACCTTTTCTCAGAAAGTGGCCAGGATCTCTAAAGGCAAGTGAAGAGTGCTGACAGTTGGAGAAACAATCTTCAAGAGAAAAACAACACAGCTGGTTATCCAGAACCAAATTTTCCACCCTTATTATATGCATACAAGTAACATTATATAAACTTTTCAGGTTCTAATATATATTTATTAATATCTATGTCTACATACATATAAATATATTATGCAACAACAATTAGTAAAAAAGGAGGCCATGAATTAGAAAAAGAGCACGGAGGAGTATATAGGAGTATTTAGAGGGAGGAAAAAAAAGAGAGAAATGATGTAATTATATTATAATCTAAAAAGATAAATAATTTAAGAAAAAAGTCACCACAAACTCTGGTAAGGAGTTTGGGAGAAAAAAGCATGTATACACTGTTGATGTGGATGTAAACTTGAGCAGTCCTTACAGAAATCTATATAAAAGTCCCCAAAATTAAAAAAAAAAAAACAACTGAACCGCTTTTATGATTCACTTATGAGCGTATGTCCAGAAATTAAGTCAACAAGCAAAGACACATCACTTGTATAATCATGTGTATTGCTTCACTATCTGTTAGAAATAAGAACTAGAATCAACAGATGAATGGATAAGGAAAATTAATACATATACAGAATAAAAAATTCACAACTTTTGCAGAAAAACTTAGGAAAAAAAAACATGTTACTCAAAACTGGACTAGATCCAGAAAGACAGATGTTGTATGCTTTCTCCCATAAGTTGACTGACATTTAATTTGCTCTTTCTCTTTCTCTCTTTCATGAGCACATGCATGCATGTTTGTAGGGAGAGCAAGGTATCAAGGGAAGGAGATGGAAGACAACTGAGCTGTAGATATTTGTAACATGAAGATGTAAAAGGAGACTCCGTGGAGTAGGAAGGGAACCAGGGACAACTATGAAGAATGGGCAGGTATGTTTTGTAAATAATTTAGAATTGAATGCTCCTGCCATCAACAAATGGTTAAAACATCAAAACCTGAATTCACTGTATACCTAAGATGATGAAAAAATGTGCTGGAAACACAGTCACACATAGACTTTAACCGAAATAGAAGGTAACACAGGACAAGTAGGGCAAATATACGTTATTCATACATATACTCTTTATAATTAGGTTGCCTGAAAGAAAGCAGTGATTGTGGGAATGCCATTTTCAATCTCTTTTATCTTTATGTTCTCACCAAAATGCATTCATATATCCTTTTGTTTAGCAGTTTGGAAAAGAGATTTTCCTAAAGATGGCTTTAGATATCCCTTAATAATATATATTCTGAAAATAATAGTGGAGGAAAAAACATTAATGCTTTCATCACTTCTATTGACCTAGAAACTACCCTGTCTGTGTTGCTCATCTAAAGACCTGAAGGCTTCTAGTTTTTTAGTCAGCATCTCATCTGCCTCAGAAACAACTGAAGGGCCTGTTTCAACTTCCGGTTCCCCCAAATCAGGATACAAGAATGACCTGCTGGGTAAAAGGTACCAATTACAATGCAAAGTAAGAAGATTTGTTCATTAAGCAAACTCCAACCTGATACAATTACACAGACAGAGTATGTGGCAAATAGCAAGAGAAAGGAGACCATGGTTTGCACGGCCTTTATGTGGGCCATGGCGCTGGGATCTTGACACCCTTTTCCATGGAATTTCATATTCCTGACATGTTTGCCTAGGGAGTAGATTAAGAGCAAAACACAAGTCAGCGATATAGAAAATGGAGTTATGTTTATCAGGCTGAAGAGAGGTATACTTGCAAAGCTTGAGATATTCTTTGGTTTGCTCTTCAAAGTCATATTTCCTTCATGAACACTCATCCAAGTAGTCTTGTTGATGTCCACCACTCCAAGATATGCAATCAGGAACAGAAAACTCCCCCAAAATATCACAAGAAGAACATTCTCGATTTTTCTTTTTAAGTGAAGAAATAGAAGGTTGGAAAAGTTGGCTATCTTAAACAAATAAAAAATGCTGAGAATGGTCCCAAGCCAATTGTTAAAATGGTTGCTTAAAACCCAGGTAATTCTACCCAAAACTCCTATCTGTGCACTGTAGGTATGTGCAATAAACACAGTTGAATACCAGTTCATTACTGTTGCCCACAACAAACCAATTCTGAAGATGGCAAGAGCAGTTATAATTCTATCAGCGGAGGAGATCTTTCTTCTCTTGATAGAGTTGATGGAGTTCACAAGAAGTATGAAGACATTGGCACAGTTTCCTAAGAGAAATTCTGTCAAAATTATGATGGTGACAATCCATTCTAGGAAATCCATTGTGTCTGAACAAACAGAAAAGAAAAAAGCAGGCCCAACTTCACTGATTATGATTCTTTTATATAGAGATGTAATAATGTTTGTCCTTAACTGAATGTATACTAGACTTCTTGCTTCTTTTTAATTCGGTATCCAGAAGTACAGTAGTGTGATGTGATAATGGATGAAGTCCATCTCATGTTTATGGAAATTTCGATTACCATAATGTCTCCAATTACATACTTTTGTATCTCTACCATAGACTAGTATATTTCAGTGCTGCTCTTGAAAGAAAGCTGCATTTCCTGTTTGCTAGCAGGCAAATAAAGACAAATTCTATTCCAATGTTAAAAAACTGTTCCTCCTTTAATCATGCATTATTTATGATAGTCAGCTTTGTTTGTTAGTAAAAGTTTAGAATTCAATACATAGTACATGTAGGGGGGAGCAGTCATTCTATGAAACTTGGCTCATCTAGAATTACCGCACACTATGGTCTCAAATATTTTAATATAAGATTCATGTATAAAGAGTTTCAGATTTCCACCTCAAAAGATCCAAGATTTTCTGAGTAGCATCAAAAGGACAAAATTCCTTGAAAACTATCCTGTGATAATACCTGTTTGTAGCTTGACTCTTGTATCTTGTAGGAGAGGGGGAGGGAAGAAGAGCAGGTCCAGGAGGAGCTGAGGAAGGAAGCTACAGCCAGGATACAAAGTGAATTGTATCCTGTAAAGTAAATTGTAATAAATAATAATGATAAAGAAAAATAAATAAAATAACTCCTATGTGAAGCTTCACAAATGCTACTCTTGAGTTCACTTAGCTTTCAAATATTAATTATTTGGTTAAAATTATTGGAAACTTTGTACCATTTCTTAGACAATTAAAGACTTTGTTTTCAATCTGCAGCCATCTAAGTAATGAAAATCAAAACTACACTGAGATTCCATCTCATCTCAATCAAAAAGTTTGTAATCAAGAAAAAAAGCAGGAACCTACAAAGCAGGAACATAATTCACACTGTGATCCCAGAACTGGGAAAGTGGGGGGGGGGGAGAGCAGGGAAAGTGCGAGAACAAACTTTTAGACACTCAGACATAAGTAAGTGGGCTCCTTGTCAGGAGAAATAGCTCAGGGGTATAAGTTTAGCATCCAGTCTCCTCATCAGCCAGGCTCTGAACGCCTGTAACTCCAGTTCCAGGGTCACTGGCACACTCATGTGGGCTTTTGCTCTCAGTGGCATTGTTATTATAGTCCATACTATTGTTTTAAATTGGCTAATATGCCTACAAATTGGTGTCTGGATTTATGAACCCACAAAAAAACAGAAACAGGTCTAACCGTTTTCTACAAAGGAACATTACTCCTTTATAGTTTGTATCAATCTAGACTATTTCTCTAAAATTTCAGGTAATAAATAAAAACTTAAAAAGGTTACTTGACACCAAATACAATAAACTCACTGTCTCACCAATGTTTAACAGTCTACATGGTTCTTAATTCCTAAGAATCAGTAAGACACTGTACGTCAATGACACCATCAAGGATAAGAGGTTCATATTCATAAGTTCTTCATGCATATTTATAATTAATAAGAATAAATAATTTACGTTATTGTATGCATGCATTACAATATTACATTATTGAATGCATGTACTCGTTAACTGGTGATATCCAATACATACCACAGTATATTCTATTTGCCATAGAATAAAAACTTTCCTTCATTATATTTTAATTGAATATATCTAAGAAAAGACATGTTTGTTATATTTTGTTTAACCATATGCCAATACTTAACTTAGCATAAAACACTACCAATTTTTATTTTTGTTTATTATTCGTATTATTATTATTATTATTATTATTATTTGTAATTTATCCACTTTGTATTCTGGTTGTAGACCCTCCCTCATCTCCTCCCAGCCCCACCTTCTCTCCCTCTTACTCCTATCCCTCTTCCCTAGTCCAGTGATAGTAGAATTACTCCCGTCCCATCTGGGTCCTTTTATAGCCCCCTTCTTTCATAAAGCTTCCTGAGCTCTGTCCAAAGTTTGGCTGTGAGTCTCTGCATCTGCTTCCATCCTCTGATGGTTGAACATCTGTGGTAGGCACCAGTCCTGTTTCCGTTCTTCTACCCCTTACAGCATCTGTCCTGTTTTCCCTTTTGAATGAGAATTAAGCATCTTCCCTAGGATCATCCATGTCATTTAGCTTCAATACTTCTCAGCTATAGAAAAACAAAGAAATCATGAAATTTTGCAGGAAATTCGATGGAACTAGAAAACATTATCCTGAGTGAGGTATACCAGAAGCAGAGAGGCATGCATGATATATACTTGCTTATAAGTGAATATTAGCTATATTACATAGTATTAAACAACCAATTTTTAGTAAGTATGAATAATTAGTGTTACTTTGAGTACTGGGCACTTCAACACATGTTGGCATATTTGTATTTGATATTAACATCAGTTAATGTCATAAGAAAATTTATAAAATATGTAAAAATTTTCAAACATATTAGGTTCAAAAGTAAAACGCAGAGGAAAACACATAGTTTGTGTTCCTTGTTGGTAAATTTTCAGTAAGTTAGAACCTTGTTTGTTTGGAGAAATGAAAAATTCCTTGTTCATAGATAAATTTGTTAAAACATTCATCAGACTGCCAAACCTGACTTGGAATATATTTTCTTCTTCTTAACATCCCAAATCCATCCAGATATTTGTTGAAAATACATGTTCCATATTTCATCTCCTTTTGTTTGGAGATCGGTAATAATCACTTTAAAAAGATGTTGCACACTTAGCAGTTCAGTGGTAGAACAGCCCAGTAACATGGACAAGAAGTTTGGAGCACGTCACAGGCACATAAAAGGTCTTTGTAATACTTATATGCTAGTCATTCATACATTTTTGGTAATATAGTAGATATCCTTAGTATACCCTTAAAATTACACACCCAAGTGTACAGCAATTATTTCCCTATGAAGCCCCGAGGTGCTGAGATTTTTTAAAGTTTTAACGAATAATTTTTGCAGATGTCAGCAAAGCTAAAGAAATTACCTTCAGAAGAGGGAGACACTGTCCTTGGCTCAGATGAAACACCAACAGCGGGAGGCTTCACACAGCCACAGCTGCCTGGATCCAGGGGACAAAGACAAAACATTTGAAAAAAAGTAAATTTGATTCTTACATTAAAAGTTTCTTTTATTTCTACTATATTTGCACCTGACTTAAAGGTATACAAAAGATAACCTTTTGTTTGCTTGTTTGTTGATTCAAGAAGCTAGCAGCACTACTAAGGGATCACAAAAGCTTTCCATTTTTAGCTCCTACTCTTGTGTGTGTGTGTGTGTGCATGTTTGTTCTTCTGCATTTAAGCGTATATTTGTTTTACTTTTAGCTTCACAATAAAATGGTCCAAACAATCAAATACTAAGTAATTGTGATGATAATTTTTACCTTGTAAAGGTAGAATGTTCTAGTATTTCAACAATAGGTCAAGACTGAGTTCAGCTTTGAGATGAGTCCTTTTAAAATCGTCTTCAGGATATCTTTTTCTAGCCATATTGCATGTGATTATTTAAACATGCACTACAAACATCTATTGTTGAATACTTCTTTGAGATTTAAGAGTGGTTAAAATATGTGTCCACGATCAACATCAAGAACTAGAGAAGGCCCAGAATAAAAAATCTCAAGTGCATCTTCTTTGCAATCAAATTCTCACTTTGCCCTAATATCTGCAAATGCATAGCTATACACAAAGCAATACACAAAGAAGATGAATAAATAAAATGTTTTATGCAGTTCCTGAATATAATGTTCACTTATAACTATCAGAAATAACTAATCAACATATACATTTGTAACTGCACATTTCCACTGTAGTGAAAAATAAAATAATAGGTAGAGAGTGCATGTTAATAAATATTACATACCATATTTTGTTGACATATTTACTTAATCACCTTAAAAATAAAAATATATAAATAATACCTGGGCATAATGGTTCATCCCTGTATTTTCAGCACTTGGAGTATGAAAATAAAGAGGATTAGGAGTTCAGAGTTATATAAAGTGATACAACTGTTATATAAAGTTCAATATCAACTTGAGCTGTATAATGTACCTTCTTAATATACAAATGACAAATAAATAATCTAAGCAAATATGCCTATGCACATGTTCTGCAGTAGATAAGCTTCTTAAGCTTTTATATGATCATCCTTACTTAAAAAGCAATTGAAATGACACTCATGGGAGATTTTAATATTCTATATTTTTTCAGAATGTTTTCAGTAAATGATAATAGTTACATTATTAAACAGAGAATTGTTCTTGATAAATATGGGCTAAGAAACCGATTCTGAAAGAACTTGACTTAAATAACAAGTTCTGCAAAACAAAATTTCACTTCAGAAATTAATGAGTCAGAACTCATGGTTTATTTCTCCTTAGAAGGTTTTCAGATCCTAAATGAAAGGCCTGAAAGTCTGTGAATTCAGGAATATCTGTATTTCTGACTTTTAGGTGACCAAAGATAGGGACTATCTACACATAATAGTAAGAGATACTTTTCCTCCTAGAGAAATATTAAGAAACTTTCAATGACGAAACCATAGAAAATGCACAGATGAGCTTTTCACAATCTTTGTACATGGGTCTAAAGGTCTCTTTGAAAGAAACCAGCTTAGTAACGAAGCCCTCAAGTCATATACAGATGACCAAGATCCATCATGTTAGACATTTGCTGAATATGCTTTTAAAATTTTACTAAGAACTATGTAACCTTGGTGAATTCAAATGCCCTAGATACGAGACAAGGCAAATCCTACAAAACCATGAAAGAGGATATATGTTATTTGCATGCTTCTGAATTAGGTTTCTGTGCTCATTCCACCATCTGCTATGATGGATTCCAGACTGCGCTAATGACAGGAAGTACATGAATAGTTTTGCGAATTGCTTGATGGAGAATAGTACGATTCTCCTCAAAATCAGTGTTTGGCTCAC